GAGCCGACTATTTATTTCTTCGCAGACTTCTTCAAAGATTGAGCACGCTGATGAAATTCCCACTCCAAAAAGCTCCGAGACAGTCTTGTAACTGTCATGATGCGCGAGTTTCCAAATGGTCATGGCCACCCTTTTCTCCACAGGAATGTGTGACCTCATGCCAGTGTCTCGACGCTGTAAGGCAGGACGCAACTCCTCAGCAATATACATCAGTGTGGAGCGTGACATTCTGAATAAAGAAATCCAACACTTATCACCCTGTTCCGAAGAAATCATTCGCTCCCACCATTCGCTACATCTGGGGAGTATCCAGTGTGATCGCTCCGACAGGGCCATCAGCTCGTGCTCATAATGCAGTGCTGGTGAAGATGAGTACACCATAGTTACCACAGACACTATAGCATTGCGATGAAGCCGCAGCAAGGCTCTCTTACGACGGACACTAACTGAGAGGATGCGCCTCAGCACTGCAGCCGACTGTCGAAAGCGTCTCCGCTGAAGAATCCTTGCTATGGCAAATACCACAGTACGCCTGTTCAGCATCCATTGTTGCACTAGCAACTGAGAAGTTTGAACACAAGCAGCAACAAGAGCCAAGCGCTCTTGCTCCATTTATCCAGCTGGTTTTAACAGTAACAGCAGGTCCAGGAGGAGATGATACCAGTACGCTGTGACAGAAAACCTTTCCACCCTGGTCAAGGCAGAGATGACATCACCAATCAGGGATCACTCATAAGCACTCCATGCACTTCATTTGGATAGGCACTGTTGAATTTAAGGGTAATACATTGTAATTGGCTCTAGTTCACTAAGATTCATATTTATAATCCAACTGTGAAGGTCTTTTAAAAAATACAAAGTAAAAAATAGTTTCACCAAGTTCAGCCATTTCACATTCTCCATTTAAAAATATTTTAAACTTTCAGAGAGTCACATATGGCTTTTCCATAAATATTTCTCTTTCGTACAAATATTTCAGCTGACCAACTCTTAGTCAAACATACTATATTCTCCACGCTAAGCCATGATTGAGCTAGCATGGCTGAATCCATGATATCTAACAAACAATTGTAATAATACAGCATCTCTACAAGTTAGGCCTGCCAAACCCAATAAGGGGAAGACACTCATTAAATATATTATGGCTACATCATGTTACTTAATAGCGCATCCCATTTGAACTTAGCAATATAAAATACTATCTTCTAGAATGAAAGGATAGAGAACACAGGGACAAATCAAGCAGTTTAAATCAAGAATACTGTAGAGGTAGTGCTTGATTTACGACCACAATTGGAACCAGAATTTCCGCTGTTAAGCAAGGCACTTGATAAGTGAGTCATGCCTGATTTTATGACCTTTTTTTGCCAAAGTTGTTAAGCAAATCATTGTTAGATAAATCAGGTGGTTGTAAATGATCTGGCTTTCCCCACTGACTTTGCTTGCAGAAAGCTGGCTGGGAAGGTAGCAAATGGTGATCACATGACCCCTGGATCCTACAAATGTTGTAAACACATGCCGGTCACTAAACACCTGAATTTTGATCATGTGACTGTAGGGTGCCATAATGGTCATAAGTGCAAGGACCAGTTGTCACTTTTTTCAGTATTTTTGTAACTTTGAACTGTTGCTAACAAATGGCTGTAAGTTGAGGACTACTTGTAAGCAATTTATCATTCTAGAACTACATGCACTACAATCTCCAAAGATCTCTTAAAACATATCTATGCCCAGCCCACCTGGGAGGGTGGAAAAGGGATACCCTACTACCACTAAATGGCAGCCCTTAAGGAAATGCAGCAAATGGGACCAATGCAGCTTTGAACAAACAAGGTTGTAGTCTTGATTTAAATGTTAAGGACATAAAATTTAGTTATGTGACTTGTTAGCATTTTCCTATCTTTGCTGCATATAAATGCCCATCATGGACGCTATAACATCCAGGTTGCATAAACTGAACAGCACATAGCTTTTATAGGAATCTTTATAATTGTAATCTAATTAATAAAGGTACTGAGGCCGAGAACAAGTGGCTTGCAAAAAATAATCTAGTACAGGCAAAATCAAACAAAGAACCTGCTTTATAGTTTCATCTCTTAAGACATCCCCTACACCAATTTTCTTGTTATATAACTTTGTTAAAAAAATAACTAGAAGCTATTAAATCAGGCTATTAGCTATTTGCTGAGAAAATTATTATTAGCATGCAGCTTGAAGGTTTTATCAACTGTACCACTTTTGGTTTTGGTATATTTTTATTAAAGATTTTTTTAAAAGATAAAAGTCAACACTGTACAATAATATAAAGTGAGAAAAATAAAAAAGGAAATCAAGGAGAAAGTTAAAAGTCCAAGGGAAAAAAGTAAAAGATAAAGAAACAAGTAGCTTCCGATCTTCTTTACAGCAGTTATAATTAGAAATTTAGCTCTCATTCTAGAATTGCAACATCTCTCTCTTTTTGAAATCTATTTTGTAATCTATTTTTTGTAATTATTTTATCAAAGCCATAAATCTTAAGTTTATTTTTCTATTTCACGCAAAAAGTCTGTAAAAGGTTTCCAGTCAGCAATAAACATAGATGTTGTCTTTTTTCTCATCAAAGAAGTCAATTTAGCCAACTCAGCAAGTTCTGACATCTTCACCAACCATTCCTGCATTGTGGATAGTGTCAACTGTGCCAACTTCGTTGCAGGTTAGATGAGCTTTTCCAACATTACCCTATAATTGGTGCAGAGGCTTCAAACCTACCAAGGAACCTGCTGAGTTTTTCCCCCTCAAAAGTAAAAGACATTGTTAGAGCCTATCCTGCCTTGCTCTCTTTGTCATCTGCAATCCACAACAGCTCAATAATTTAATGGGCTGTCAAAGCCCAAATCCTACCACTGCAGGCTTCTGCTCTTCACTGTCATTGTCCTGGCCTGCTGCTTTGTTTTGTGTGCACTCACTGTGCTGGCATGTAATGATCATAGAGGCTTACGGAGGGAACATTGCACTGATGCTGTCGTTCGTCTATGCTGTTTAGCACCAGGGAGGTACACAGAAACAACTGCACTGAGATGCAAGAGAATAAACAGATTAGAGATAGTAGATATTTTGTTTTTACCATCCATTTTTATTATTACATTATTATAATTGGATTAATAATTTTAAACATTCAATACCTGTTGCATTTTTACATGTGTATGAATGTAGCCCTCTATTCAGGTTATTTTATGTAATATGGCTGCATTCATTCGAGTTTGAGACCCCTATTCTGATGCTTTCCAATTAGAAAAAAAAGAGAAAACAACTCTATTGGGTTTGCAGAAATGCAGTTACAGGGATTGCAAAAGGGGGCAAAACTCGCTTAACCGTCTCGCTTAGTAACAGAAATTTGGGTTCAATTGTGGTCATAAGTCAAGGACTACCTAGTATTTTTTAGCATTTTTAACACTATTTTTCTAAATTTGAAACTGTCAAGCCATATTTTATCTAACCAAGACACAGATCACAACAGTTGTATAAGCTTTGGGGAGAATTGTTATTATTTTATCCCACTTTTCTTGCCAAAACTTATTAAAACAAGTTGAAGCATGTAAGAGAGTTTAAAAAATGTTTTGATAATAAAGAGATGAAGTCACCTGTGTTTTCTTTAAATGATCTCTAGAGGCAGCGTATGTTTTAATACCAAAGCCAAGTGAACGTATTAAGTGGAAAAGATACAGTTCCTAAAGAAATATATTTGCTTATAGCCATGAAGAGCTACAGTTAACTTATTTTCCCCAATATTAACAGAACAACAGTCAGCTACATTGCTGTATCCTGACAAAGTGTACTTTCCCTCCCCCACTTCTGGGCTCTACCTCAGCCTGAAAATGTGAAGACTATTACTCCCCCCATCAATCCCAAAATACATCTTACAAGTCTTTTAAGGATTATTTATGGCCACATTGTTTCCTGGTATCTACCAATCTTGTGTAACTCACTGGAATCATTCAGAAAGGCTATTAAAATGAAGCCAAGTCTTTCTATATTCTCTGGGGAAAAGGCTATGAGCTATGAGGAATTAAACTAATACGTCTGTGTGTGTGTGTGTGTGCGTGCGTGCGCGCGCGCGCGCGCCACAGTGAGATCTACACTCTGTGACTGAGATGGCATGAAGGACAGCTAGAGTGAGGAAAATTGCCTCATAATAATAAGGACATTGATCCTGAGATGGGAAGCTAGAATTGGTGGTGACACCTGGCTTATATTCAGCAAAAAATGTAGAGCTGATTAGAGAAAGGGGGGGGAGCCATTATGTTGCCCCCACTCCCAAGCCCTATTCATATCAGACTCCTGTCCATTTACGTATGTGTGGCTGTACAGTGGTGGGAGGAAGGAACAATTTGTAAAGTTGTAAATTCTAAAAATCAGGGAAAAATACAATAAAGATTTTTTTTCACGTCTCATGAAACTGCATGGGATGCAGCCATAGCCTGGAGGGGGAAAAAACTTGTGTTACAAGTGTGTATCGTTATTTGGTTCTTATATGCAAGTTTCTTAACAGCCTCACATGTAATCATTTTTTTTCTTATTATGCGTAAGTTTTCCTCATTGGGGCCCAGTGAAGGACACGCGACTCTTTTATTTTCCGAATAAGCCTCCGAGGGAGACTTACTGAGAAATAAATGCCCGACCTAAAGCTCTGCAGTGAATCCATAGGGAATCTGAGCCTTCCCAGCCCTCTCGCCTAACCGTATGGCAAGATTTAGGCACGGGCGGTAAATTCCTGCAGTTGGAGCCCATCCTGTCTGAAAGCCTATCCCGATACTACCGCTCGAAGGCTTCTGCCAAGCACGCAACCCTGAGCTGCTCCACTCAAATCAACGATGGGCTGTCTCAGTCTACGGCAGCTAAACCTACATCCCAAAGAACTTGTAGTTAGTGCTTAGCAACCGATAAATCTGAACAAAAGTCCTGCTGTCGAAAAAACGCCGGCGGGAGAAGAATGAGCGGGAAGGCCTACAGCCTCATCTTACCTCCGTCCCCTTTCCTTCTCTTCTTCCCTCCAAACCGCAGCTGAGGCACCTTCCCGCTTTACGAAGGCCGCCAGCGTTCGAGGATGCTACTGTCCCTTTAAGAGGAAGCTGTACCGCTGATTCCTTTTCCTTTGGCGGGGCAACCCTATTCGATACTTTCGAGCACGGGCGAAGATGACACTTTCCCGCGCGCCGCCGTAGCTCGTTGTCGTCATCGTCCAAGTGAAGGTCGTTTTTAAGTGACGCAGCCGCAGGCGCGAGCGTGTTGGGTAGTACGCACGCGCGTCCGACGCTTACAATTCTCTTTGGAAACGCTGCCCTCTTTCTCAGATACGTGGATGTTCACGCCCCACTCCGGAACAGGTTCTCGAGAGCTCGTATCTTCCTCCCCTACCCCCCCCCCAGTGGAGCACTGTATCTTTCGAGAGCCATTTTGACTGAGGGTTACCGCGCGCATTTGAGGGAGTTCAGGCTGAACATGAAAAAATAGTTTAAGGTAACCGTTAGAAGTCGTTCATTTTACCCGCCCGTTCTCTGCTGTGTTATTTTTCTCGAACAAGCAGCCCTTTCCTCTTAGGCTGGGAAATTGAGTTACTTTTTATTCAATGACTTTCACTTGGTTACTTGGGAGAGTCAGATAATCTCATTTTTAAGTGAGAGCAAGATCACTAATTCTTATTAGTAGTAACACTTAAAAAAAAAACCCCAAGGCTCCATTTTACATTTAAGATGTTCCAGATCACGTAGCTAATTAGATTAAATTGTAACCTCATTCAATAGGGTCAAATGGTTGACTTTCAGTGGAGAAGTCTAAAAAGGCACCAGCCTGCTCTGCTGCACTAGGCTACTTTATTCTGGTAATTCAAATAAATGAAGACAAGCAGCAGTAAAGGATTCCTTCCATATATCTTATATCTTCCCCGCTTAGAACTAGATTCTATAGTGCTCAGTAAGCACTACAGCTTACTAAACATGTTAGAATCCTAAGAAAAAAGGACAGGAAGGGCCTTACTTAAATTTCCTCACAGTTAAGTGGTATTTGTATTGTACCAGTTTGAATGACAGTGAAGCCAAACTAAGAAATTACACTTGCATTATTTCTTAGCTGCACATATCTCATTTAATAAAACTCCCAAGATACTCTGAGGTTTCAAAAACTCATGGAAAGTTTTCATCTCTTTCAAAATATTCCGTTTGTGTCCCCTTTAGCTGTCATTTCCTTGTCCTGGTAGCAGGACACAAAAGTTCTGTGTTAAGAATTAAGACACTGTTATGGCAAGAAGAATGAATTTAAATAAATTCTTTTTTTGCCTTTATTTTCAGGGGAATCCAGAGAAATTAAAAACCATGTGAAGAAATTAAAAACCAGAGCATCGAGTCAGAGATAGAGATGGTGGGGAATGGGTGAGGCATGAGCCTCCCAGGACAATTTAGGCTAAAACAGCAAGGGAAGGGAGGTAGGCAGGTGGCATAGCTTCCCCTTTCAAGATGCCCAGACTCTCCAATCTTCAAGAGGGTTGGGTGAGTTGCCTGGCCTCTCCCCATACACCCCCCATATCTTAGCGGTGCTTCCCCTGGATATTTGTGGAATTAACCCTTCCCATCCAAGGTTTCTGAGTAGACCATCACTCTGCTAGGAGCTAGAAGAAAAAATAAAAAATGGAAAATGTGGTGAAAAGTGTATCTTTAAGAGAGATGCTACATGGGTAGCACACAAACTTCCCGCTCTATGCTTCCTGCAAGATATACTTCTCTTCCAAAATAAATAGATGCTTAAAAGATGCCATTTGTACATATCTGCTGCAATATATACAATTATCCCATACAAATAAGAATCTTGGGTGGAAAATTAGAACAGCATTATTCTGCTGTTGCTCCCATCTGATTGTGAGATCTGGTTTTGCTCGTTACTTTTTGTGCTTGTACAAATTTATCAACCACTGGGCAGAAACTTTCGACCTAATATGTTATGTATTACTATAAAAAAAAATAAAGGAACAAGACCCCCAGCATCATGCAAGTAGAATTAAACTGCTTCCTAGACACTCTCCTTCAGATATGCATTCCCTTTATTTGCTTCTGCAGAGGGAGAATGCATTGGGCTAACTTTTGAATCCAGGAGCATGATGACTAATGATACTGTGAAGTAGCTTCTCAAATGTTAACTGTCTCTAAAATTATCCAGATCATGAATGGGGATAGGGATTATTTTATAGGCATGATTCAGTGTTTCAGTCTGGCAAAACACCTAGAATGAAATCAACACCAACTTGCAGTTATGGCTCAAAAACAGAGTACATGTGCTCAATGCATAACTGAGGCAATATGTTTTAAGAACTGACAAAGCAAGATATCTTTTTGGCAAACTGATGTGTTATTATTTTGAGATGACTATATGTTGTGGAATAGGTAGAATTATTGGGAAATCATTGCCTCCCATGATATTCACGGTCAGCTCTGCCCAACTTCGTAAACTCCAAAACTGAGACTCCCAGGATCCCCAGCCAGCAGGGCCATGGTCAACCCAGCATATAAAAGGGCATTCAGTAGGGGAAGGCTGTTTTGGATAAAAAATAACATTCCCACAAATCTTGGAGCAGCACATTCTTTTCCTATGATTCCTCCACACTCTTCCAATTTACTTTCCACTTGCAAATCTTTACTTCATGTGACTGTATCCCCCTGCAAACCTCGAACCACTAGAGCAGGCAACCTTGGCTCTTTTATGACTCGTGGACTATGCTGGCTCAGGAACTCTGGCAGTTGAAGTCCACGAGTCATAAAAGAGCCAAGGTTGCCTACCCCTGCACTAGAGGGACTAGTCCCAAAATACAATCCTTAACTTCAACTTCAAGCAAGTTTAGGAATACGAAAACACAGAGGTACCATATAATCCCCATTCAAGCTAAAAATAGCTGCCTATGCAATTAGAGTAGGCGTTACTAGCTTAGCTGCACCACCATCTCATAATGTAAATTCATCTGACTTAAGAATTTAAAGGAAAGTTCTTCCATTGCTTACCTTGACTATGTAGCTCCCATATATGGCTCCACTCTGTATCAGGAGAGAAGAAAAAAATTAGAAGCTAAGCATTACTGTATTTTATTCCTAAATAATACCTACTATAAGTCTCTAATTGTCTTTATGTCCAACAAGAAGTTTCTAAATTTTAACTACTTTGAGAAAAGCTGGTCCAGATGTGCAGCAACCACATGCCCATCTACCTGCATTATTTAACACAAAACTCAGAACCCTGACTCAGTTAAAATTAAATGCTAGAACTTATAGTAATACTCAAATAATTGGAAGTAAAATGTTCTTAAGGAAACACAAAAGCTTCTTGCTGACCCCATTGAAATTTAATGAAGACACTTTTTTCCTTAGCCTTTTAAGGAAAGTGGTAAGAGAATGATAGACTCCTTCTGAAACTGTTAATTCAAAACCGATTCAAAGGGTCAATGTACCCACCAGATAAACATGAAAAATGAAGTTTAGGGAATACTGTAAGTTGATTTTTACTTATTACCATTCTGGTTTTTTGTGGGCAAACAATATTATCCATGCCCCTCCCTCTTCCACTAATTCCAATAGCTGGTTTCTGTGCACCTTCTTATAATTGAAATTTGCTCAGTATATTCTGCTATCAATAGATTAATAGCCTCAAAACATGCAGACATCCCCTTCCCTGTGCAGTACTGTACTCTTAAGGCTATCTTACCTTCAAAGTGATAATTTCTTGCAGCCTGCCAGTCACTGGCTTCCATGTTTTCCCAACATGCTCCAGCATCTGCATTTTCTGTCTCCTTGACTGGTGCCGTTCCACCACCCCCTCCATGCCCGGCTCCTGGCTCATTGATAAAGGAGAGGCCCCACTCATTTTGGAAGATGGCTCCCAAATGCTGCCGCCGACTGCTATCGGTTGGCGGGGGACTGCTGGGGGGTGGCGCCAAGACACAGTTGGGGAGGCTATTAGTGGTGCGGACAGCTGAAGCTGGAACATGGCAGGCTTTGCCTGGTTGATCCAAGTTCTCTTTCAGCTTGCTGGCATAAGAGATCTTGGGAATGATCCTGGCACTGCTGCTATCAACTGGGAAAGCAGGAAGGGGCCGAAAGAGTGACCATGTTTCCTTCTCGGATTCCTCAGTGGTTACAACAGCGGGCTTCTCACTGGCTTTGATAGTGCTGACTCGTTCTAATTCGGGGGAAGACAATGGGGAGGGTGAGTCAGAATAGCCATGGCGTCGATGCTGCCATCGCCCATTGGAAAGACCCTCTGGAGCACAGTGGTGGCCATTAGTGCTAGGTCCCCATTCCTTGCGGTCTGAGGGGTTGCCTCGATAAGTTTTGTGGTAGGCAGGACGGAAGGGCCGGCCATGATGGAAATTAGGAGGATAACGGCGGGTATGCTGGGGAGGTTCTCGCTCAGACAGCTGGAGATTGCGGATGTTAAGGCTGTTGGAAGGACTCAGGGGAACACTGGGCTCATCAGCTATCTCAGAACTTGCAGTATATCCATTTGACTCCCATGATCCTGAAGAAGGAAAGCAAATTTGAGATCTATGTCACTAACAGCACAATAAAATGTTTTTCCCCTTCTAAAGCATCTCACAGAAGGTCTTTTGAGAAAAAAAAAACACCTTTTCTACTTTCCCCCTGTAGCCTCCTTCCTTCTAATGCATTAGCATTAGAAGGTTCAATAATAGAAAGTGCTAAGTCATTTCAGGCTGGCATCCATATATTTGTATAGGGGATTTTGTTCCTAGACCGTGCAACACCTCTTCAATTTTATGAATAAACAGGATGCTGAAATTTAACTTCCTATTGCCATTATAGTTGCTTCTCAAGGTGGAATGAGAGAATACCCAATGGCTAGAGCTCTCATTCATTAAAAATCAGTCCTTGAAGCTGCTAAATCTCCCAAGTAATATTACAATTTCCAAGAAAAATAATGGTGTGGCCGTTGCAAAATAAAGAGAATTGAAGAAAGAATTTCTGTGCTATGATGTGGGGTTCAACAAATGTTTAAATCTAAAACAGATTTTACCCAGCAACT